GTATTTTTAAATGTTAAAGTAATGCTTCTAGCCGCTAGCTCGTTGCTAACCAGCAGCACTCTAAAATGGTTTGTCCTGTGCACTGTGTGAATGCCTTTTTCACCTTACCACGTTGTTTATCTGTATGGTGCCAACCATTACTCCCATTTATAGCAACATCCTTTCCAGCACTCTTCCTGACTAAACAGGCACAAACATGACTGACTACATTAGAAGGACTGCCAACTGAGTACTTAATTAACAAGCATAGGGTGCTTTTGTGTAGCTAGGACAGCAGCCTTTTCGCTTATGCTTGTCACCATAGCAGGACACTTCCTATAAGCCCTGCTAAAAATACATAGTGTCTGGATTCTCAGTTGGCAGTCAACAGAATGATGCAGGTAGTGTGAAAGACGGTCTTGTGTAAGCCAGAGGAACGTTCTATCAGATAAGCACTGAAATCTGGTAATCTGCATACAAACACAAAATGTCATTGTGATGCTTTGTCTTTAAACCATAGAGATCTAAAACCTTTGATAGCTATATACATATTAAATAACATATAAAGCAAGAATTTTCACACTTGTTTTAAACAGCATTTGTCAGGAAGACTCGATTTAATCATGGATTTCTACATAAAAGTGCATTCTTGCTGGTTCTTTTAACTTTAATACATATTCTTCACAACTCAGATGTAGGTTTCATTTTTAGAAGGTACACACTATATACATTTTTAAAGTGATTTATTTTGAAAACTTTTCAGATTAGTTTTACAGCTATATCAGAAAATGAAAGATTGGTTATTTCATTTACCAAAGTTAATTGAAGCAGATAGTTCACCTCCCAATGACTTCATAAATATCCCCAATTCAACAGGTTAATCATTAATATTTGGAGGATTTTCTTGTTCACTGGTGTGACTTCCTTTAAAACATCAGCAAACACATTTCTTGAATGGTTCACCCTTAGCTCTCAAGTTTGCTATAGTTGAAGGGATAATTGCTGGATGTCCATGTCATAGCCAACTTCTCTTCTTCAGCAGTTAAAGTTTGACCCTGGTACCAAGTATTGAGAATATTTGCAAGAAAATGAGCTGGAGATAGTGCTTGTCCCATTCGTGTTTTTGATGCTTGAAATTTAACTCTGTTGCATATTTCTCTTTAAGATCTCACTCAGTTTCTTCCAGATTTCAACAGTGTCAGCAATAAAACAGCTCTTTCCCTGCATTTTGTTCACGGCTACAGAAATAGGCTTCAGGGTACTCAGCATGTGTTCAACATTTCTCTTAAGCCCAATGTTGAGAACTTTGGCTGTGACAGTGCCATCTATTTTTTCACAATTTTGTTCACAAACTGTCATCAGATTAGGCCAGTTCTTGATATAGTGCCCAAAACAGTCCATTACTGAGTTCCATCGCACATCTTGTGGGAGAGTTAGCTTAGTTCCTCCCACTTTTTTCAGAGCAGCTGCTGCAAAATGGTTGTTACGGAAGTATCTTGCAATTTCAACGGACTTAGCCTTTATTTCTGGTACACTGAAGTCTTTGTCTAGCAGGTGCATCAAATGAGCACTGCAACCGTACATTATTAGCTTGGGACTCTCTTCTAAATTTCTTCTCATTGTGGATACATTTGCAGCATTGTCTGTGACCAAGCTGCATACTAGACATTTGAGGTTTTTTCAGTTTGTTATAGCTTTTACTGCTGCTACTTGTAAGCATTCTGCTGTGTGTGCATTTCCTGATGTATCAATTGTTTCTTTAATGAAGACATTCCCTTCTTCTGTTGTCTCATAAGCACATACAACAGGATCATTGTAGACATTGCTCAATCCATCAAGACTTAGGTTAACAATTTCACCCTCTAGAACTTTTGCACGCTGCTCGCTTTCTCTTTCACACACTTTATCCAGCAATTTGCCTGTGACATCTGCTTTGTTGGGTGGATTGTATCCTGGTCTTAATGACTGAACCATGTTAATGGTTAAGTGTGGGTTCTCAATCCTACGGAAAGGAGAGTTCGTTGCATAAACAAATTGCGCAATTTTTTCATCAATTACCTCTTTTTGTAATCCGCTGGTTCTTATCACAAACTTATCTATGGTTGTTTCTGGATGATGGAGATTTTTTTTTCTTTCTGCTACAGGTGATATACTATGGCTATGTGACATACATGATGTGACTGAAACACTATCATTGGCAGATAACTCTGAAACTATAGAAAATGATGGTGATCTTGAAGGTGGATGGTCTTCAGAATCCTGTATGTTGAGGATGGATTCTCTTAAACAAAATAAGTCAATGCAGTTATTTAATTATTATTACCATACTGCTCATTTAGTATTATTCATTGCATTCACTGACACTCAGTACTACTTTAAAGCTGAAATTGTAAAAGGAAGATCTGCCTGTTTTAAACTATTTATTTTTTATCACAACTGCATCTAAAATGATGTTACTCTATGGTACTAACTATATTTTTTGTTCAAACATGAGAATTCAAGAATAGTCCAGAAGGAAGACCAGTAGTCCTTAAGAAAGAAGTATGAAATAAAAAAGTTTACCAACCTGAAGATCCTGCAAGTTCAGACATGTTCCTTTCATCCTCTTCAACGCTGCTTCCTCCTGAGAAGGAACACTTCTCATGATGTTGTTTCATTCAGGCAACCAAGCCTTGCATTTCTTTGTTGCACTGTTTGCATTTTGCATGCATGCTTGTCTTACCCACAGGTAGAGGAACTTCATTAAAATATTCCCAAACTGGGTCTCTTTTATGGCCTGCTGCCATTATAGGTTTTCCCTTCTAGTGAGAGAATGGTATGGTAGATCTCAAATTAATGAAGGCTATGCTCAGAAACACCTTAAGACTTCTGGAATATGCTGCTCAAACAGTTACACTTTTGTTTCTACTGCCTGTGCCTCCCATCTCACGTTTATCTCCAGACATCTTCTCCTTGTCTAGGTCTGTTCCGCCCCCAACAATCTTTTATTCATTGAACTTTTTGAAACTTCTGCACTTTTAGAGAGAGGTAAGGGATTGACTCTATGTACACAAATTTGCAGAGGGACAATAGGGTTGAGGTCTGTTGTTTCTCGCCTCTATATATATATTATTTATTTTAAAACATTTTTGCTGTTAAGCATTTTATCTCTGGAGAACAAATCCACAGTTAGAGAACTGCAAAACTAAGCATCTCTGATGGTATCTTCTAGACTGAGCACTGAGTCCCATTGGGAGATAGAAAGATTAACCTAAATAATCTATACAGAAGCCCCTTGAACACCATAAGATTGAGTCCCTAATCCATGAACTATTGGAACTCATTTACAAAACTTTTCTTAAACATTACATGAATATATTGTCTCATACTATAGAATTAGAATTTATAATCGCTATTCCATGATGAGAGATCTTTGAGCTAGGTTTTTTCTCAAAAAAGCATTTTATCAAAAAAATCCGATTTTTATTGTTGTTTTCATTGTAAAATAGCGTCTGAAAATCCTTGCTAAGTAATCCATCATCTACGTAGACTCTTTTGTCTGACCAGTGAAATTGTTGCACGCAAACTAGCGTTAGAGTAAGGGTGGTGATTAGTTGAGTTACTTTTGTCACAATGGACAAAGACTCTTGGCATGGAAGAGCTAAATGCTTTACAGTAGCTGAAAACCTCTGCTATTGCACAGGTGTAATTCATAATGTCAAAATGGCTGAGAACTTAAACTGGATGATACAGACTGCAAACCCCAGTGGTGATTGAATCTAGTGTTGTGAACAAAGAGCTCTCAACCATTCTTGTGGCTGTTTCCATCGCTTCACGCTGACTCAGCAGACATTGTAGGCTTCAGAGTGACCATTCTAGAGTCGTCTTTTATAGATAATGGTTCAGGTGTGTCTCAGTAAGAACTACCATTTTACTGGTACTATCCAGCAGAAAGACCCCTCTACTGACAGTTTCTTATTAAAAAACAAACCTCATTTGAATTCAGGAGCTGGAGATTTTCAAAGTTTTATTCAAGCAAACTCTATTATTTACGAGAAACATATCTGTTTTCTAGTTAATCATATAATTTGCCTTTTCACAACGGTCAAAGTCTCTAGCATTGTCATTAGAACTGGTTGGAAATTTTTTGATTTTTCTCCATTCCCCCTCCCCAACAAATTGTATGACCTAGAGGGATGCTCAGCCTTTCTCAGCAGGTTAGAAACCTAGACACAATGCCATGGGATTCCCAAATGCTCCTGAGGTTCTAGATAGTGACATCATCAATGTGTTCTGTATCCATTTGTCCTGAGGTTGCAATATTTCCATTGATGTGCATCTCTCCATAATCATTCATGTTTCTGTTACTTCTAGAGTAGACTGCTGCTAACGCTGTTCTGTGCTCTTGAAGACCACTTGCTGGATCTTATACTAACTGAAGCCAATAGCTAACTGACTTTGCAATACAAGCCACTTGAAGAATTTTTTGACTGCATTATATACTTCTTGGTGCAATTCAAGGTGCTGACTTGGATCTATAAAGCCCTCTAAGATTTGAATCCTGCCTGACTTAGACTGCCTCTCTCCCAGGGACTATCTTGACAACTGATCTTCTAATGGTCCTTGTGTATGAATGAAATGGAAATAGAAGCAGGGAATACTGGTGGAGAGAATTCTACTGGAATTCTGTTTTCCTAGCTGGTCAGAACTCAAGACCTTCAGCATAGTGTGTAAGGCCCATCTATTCATTTTCTCTGATGGAGTGGAGGGTTGAATTTCTTTTGAGGGGGAAGTATAAGCAATAAGACCTCTAGAAATGGCTAGTTTTATAGCCTGTGCAGTGACATCATGCTTTAAAGATCTAAAACCAGAATTAGTATAACTTTCTTAAAACCAAAGCACTGAGCTTAGTATTGACAAAGATAGACAAGGTGGCAGCTTTCTCTTCTGGATCTGTGTTCTTTGTAGGTTACTACACTTCATGTATTTACCACAATTTTATGGTCACAATGCTACTCTTACTAATTTTGTTATCATTACAGACTGCGCTTACCTGGGGACCCTACTTGTGGTTTCATATGCTAAGAGTTGCCACGTCAACCTTATCAGGTATTAGTTCACTTACTTTTTAAGGTAAACTACTCCAAAGAATATTAACTAGCTTTTTGAAAGCTTGTTACATGAAGTGTCACAACTGGGAGGTGACTTATTGGCCATTTGGAACATTCCAAAAGTCTGCCATGCATCTATATTTTGGTTGTGTAACTTTCCATCTCTTCGGTGCCAAGTTATTCATGTTGACAGAAAGAGATGTAATGAAAGAATAAACCAAAATCTCCCTCTTGCTAAATACTAATTTCCTCATCTGTGGCTTGCTAAGGAAACATTTGTTCAGGCGAGTTGTGAGACGTAATGAACCTGTCTTCCTGGGAAGAAATGTGCATGATCTGTCAGTTGTGTGTAGCACTTGGTCACCAATTGGTTGACTTACAAAACCAAGCTAGAATCAAAGCTGCTTTAGACACTTGCAGTTCGTGAGCATTTAATTGATGTGACATATGTCCTGATTTGGTTTAATAGGGAAATATTTTGATGTGCCACCAGACATATAAGAACTTCAGTAGAAGGATATGTGTAAAATAAAGTGTTTTCCAATCAAAGGCCATTAGATCTGTAAGCAAGTAAGTCTGTTTTCTATAGAACTTACCATCTACAGCAGTGATGTCTATAAATCACTGGTGTGACTTGGCCTGAAAAGAACGTTGTTGAGAGAGAGTCAGTATGCATAAGGTTTTAGTTCTTGTCATCTTGAGATTCTGAATATTGTGTTAAATATCTGTATTTACAGTATTTTTGAGATATTTGTTGGATTATCTAATAGCTAGCTTCTGATTTGCTCTTCCCGGAGAGGGTTTAGCAACAGAGCTAACAAGTTCATACTATCCAGTAAGCTTATTTTCCTGAAGAGTCCTGCAGATTTGATGTACATTCTCCTTGGTTTTTCATCCTCCTTGCCCTCAAGGCCCTATACTGCAGCAATCATTTTGGCCAAGGAATTGCCATGAGCATATCTATTCCACTCCCTTGTTAGAAGGGATGCTCTTGAGTAAAGTGATCTTAGCCCCTGGTGACTTATACTGAGAGAACTGAAATCAAACCCTTTTGATCTATGCAGCAGTGTATAGCACAGTGTAGTTAAAACACTGCTAGCCCAGCACATTCTACATACATACATATATGTATTTGTATGTATATGTAGTATATATACAAATACATATAATTATGTTCTATTTGCTGGCTGCAAACATCATTTACTACAAATACGTGTAATCTAACCATTATTTTACTTAGGCTTATTTTGTTCTGCTTTGGAATCTGTTAAAGCAAAAGTATTGAATTACAAAATTAAAAGTACTTCCTTTGCAGTGAAATTCTCACATTATTTGGTTCCTTTTATTAATTTTCTGTGTAGCTTCCAGTTTTGTCATTCATTCCTGCATTTTTGACTAGTTACCCACAGTTACTGGTAACATTAAATGTGTTAATGAATTAAAATATATAAAGGTACTGTATTTTAAACGCACTGAATTATCAACTTGTTCATTAAAGTGCAGTTCTACTCTAAAACTAATGTAAAAATGGGCATTATGGGGTTCTGCTTCTATTTTCCATATTATATGTGCTCATTTGAAGATAATATACTTTTACCATGGGCCCTGGAAGTTGAGCTGGATTCTTTCCTTCTCACATATTGTTGCAGGTTATAAACATTCTGCTGACCAAACTCTGCCCTCTGACATTTATGCAATTGTGTGCAATGCCACTGAAAACACCATGAAAGTGGAACTGACTTGAACTTACTAAATAATATGCATAAGTAACAGAATCCATCTCTTTACCTAGCTAAGTTGGCCCTCCTATGAACAGCAGTAAACAGTAAATGTCACTAAATTGAGCAGTTATGACTGACTACACATGATGATCTTTTTGAGTAAGCAGCTGCTATCTTTTTGAAGTAGAACTGCTCTTAAAACGAAATCTAATGAATTCAGGTAAAGGCCTCTCGTTTTATTTTTAGTGTGTGACTTCCTTGGGGAAAAGATTGCATCCGTTTTGGGCATAAGTACACCAAAATACCAGTATGCCATTGATGAGTATTACAGGATGAAGAAGGAGGTGTGTCTTTCTTTACTATTATCTGTAGTATTTACTAAAGACAGCTCAATCCATTTGGCCTAAACCTCAGCCTTTTCTTTGAATCTTTTTCTTTTTAAAGCAGCTCTCTTCCCATATGCTTCCTCACCTTTAGACTCTTACCACTGGATTAGCAATTTCCAGACCTCTTAGTGAGTCCTGGTCACTGCTGTATTCCAGTCTCTTGCACAGTGCACTTTAAGGACAATTTGCAGATTGTGTGAGAGATGCATGTAGCGGTTATTGGACACTGACTGTATTCTTTAAAGAAATGGTGGAGGCTCAGTTTTTAATGTGCCTTTTTTAAATTGTCCTGTTTCGTACGGTTATTGTTACTCCTGAAAGAACAGCCTAACAAACAGTGAAACACTTTATACTGAAATCTTGCACTCACGATTTCAGAAATATTAAGTAACTTGTCTTTTAATGATCCTTAGGTGTTTTTCATTTGTCTTTATCAAGCTACTTAACTTGTCCCAACTTCCCTGCTTGTGTCCCTTGTTCCCCCTTTCCTATGATGTATCACAAAATTAATGGCTTGAACAAATGTCCTGTGTCTTTGCATTGGCTCCTCTTACCTAGACTATTTCTAGTATTTTAAAACGGTAAAACGTTTCATTCAAAATGACAAATTCCTGAAATTGAGGGTTGACATTTGAAAGCACATGCTGGGGGAAGGTATTTTATAACCAAGTAATGACTCCTGTTTGAACATCTTTTTAAAATGGGGAAAATGCAAACCGTCTTTGAAAAGTAATAGCCAGAAATATTACACATTATTGCTGTTGACAAGTAATTGGCTTATTAAGTCAAAGTTTATCTGTGTGTATCTCGTTTGTATGTGTAGAGAAAGTTCAGCCCTTCAACTTCATTTCTGAGAGGCGTGTGAAGTGATTCTGGAAAAAGTATTTCTGAATGATTACTGGAATGGACCAGTGACTTGTAACTGATGTTTGCTTTGATTATTATGGCTGAACTATCAATGAAAGCAAACGTTTTTGTGAGTGCAGAGATGTGCTTGGATGCTTGTAATTGAAATTGATGTGTTCTTGCAAAAGGAGTTGTGAGGAATACAGGTTGCAGAAAGTATTGTATTTTGTGGACATTTTTTCTTAGGAGGAAGAGGAGGAGGAAGAAAACAAAATGTCAGAAGAGGCGGAGAGACGATATCAAGAGCAGCAGAGCAAGCCACAAGATGAGACTACTGTCCAGACAGACCAACCTGAGGCAACAGCATGTAATGCATTTGTGAATCTCAATTTTGAAACTGAGGGAGACTGCCAATCTGTTGCAGAAAGTAAACAAGACTTAACTACTGTCCCTACTTAAAATATAAGGTTCTGTATAATGCCAAAATTTTTAAATTGGCAGCAAAAGTGTGGGAAAAATCTTGCTATACTTTTCCAGTGGAATGTAACTCACTTAAAACTCTGGCCAGGAGAGAGCTAAATAATGTCTGTTCAGTCCACAGCTATCCTGCCAAACTGACATTTCTGTTAAAATAAAAATTTTGGACAACAAAAAAAATCAGTTGAGTATAAATTAAATATGCTAGACCTCTCATCTTTTTCTGCACAGTGTAGGTAAAAATGTCTCTAATCTTTTCCCTGAACATCTGGTGCCTGTCTGACACTTGTGGATTGAAGAAAGTGCTATTTTATACTTTTAAAAACCTATTTTGTATTTATAAAATCCTTATTGAGAATTAGCTCTCTCTGAATAGATTGTCTGACTAATTAGTGGCTTCACAAGGCATCTCAGTTCACAATAATGTCCTTATTTATTGTCACCATATTATGTATTTATTTTTTTAGACACTAGCTTTAACCTAGAGGTGTCTGAGTGCCTGTTGAAATAATTTCCTCTTTTTAAAAGGAGGTTGTAAGCACTATTAGAACTTGCTCAGCTAAAGCTACATCAATTGTGGAGATTAGCAGTGCTCAGACAACGAATTCTGTTGTCTAGGAAAGAACAGTATGAGCAGCAGCTGTGTGAAGCACATTCTCACTCCATTTATGAGAGACACTTCTCCTAGCCAGTTAAATACATAGTTTCAGTAGGTTCTAATAAGGTCCTAGGAAGTAAATTGAAATCTGATTCCTCGGCTTGAATTAAACACTCCAATTGTCAACATTTTAAAGACATAGGGTACCAATCTATAGCTAAAAGTGTGCTATTTGACTGTTTGGTCTACTCTAGAGCACTTATATGATGCTGTAGAGTCTCCATATTATTACTTGAATGGAATATTTGTGTATATCATGCAAAAATAACTTGCAAAAGAGAAATAGTTTATTTCCCGGCACTCATACCTGAGCCCTCTAGGTAGGGAAGGAAGGAACTGTAGTATTCCCCAAGCTCTTGCAGTGCAGAATGTTGGTAGGTAAATAAAATAGTGTATCGTTTCTGCTCCACCAGCATACATCATGTAATAATTTCAAATGAAAACCTTACTATCTTTAGGTGAGACTTCTAAAATTTAAGAAAACATTAGAAATCCCGAGTGAGATTCTCGTGGGCTGCAGCCCACAAGGGGAAAAGTTACCACCTTAAGGGCTTCCTGATTCTGGATACTTTTAGGGGACCGTCGGACCTGTGACAATCCTCTGGGGCTGTGGCCCTACCACAAATGCCTATAGCACTCTGAGCTTGCCTGCTGTGCCCCCTACCCTGGGACTTGTTTCAGATCCATTGCAGAACTACACAGGGTAGTTTTGTACTGTGCTTGTGCTGAGGGAATTCTTGCTCTGCCAGGTATGGGTCTTTTCTGGTCTCTTCATAGTGCTTCAGCAGCGGTCTTAATCAACTGTCCTTTTTTGCTTTGATGCTCTGTCCTTTGCCTCTTTTCAGCTTTTGATGAATGTAAATCAGCAACATCCTTAGCATTGAACATCTGCAAGAGGTAGCTTGAGTCAATTGTGAGTGAAACAAAGAACACATTGGTAATAGATGAACTGCTTAGAGCCTACATCATTTAAAATTGGTATTTGTTCAGGGCAAAAGCCTACAGTAACTTATGAATAAAATCTTTATTAATGGAGAGAAGGATGTTTTAGCTTTTTCTGCCAGAAATTTATCAACTGTGACTGCACTATTGTCTATTTTCTTGTACTTTCTGTTGCAGTGAGCAAGGAATGCTTACTGTCATCGTGTTTAAAGTTCTTTGTATAAAATGTATTACTCACTGTGCCTTAATACTTAATCCTTTCTTCAGTTTATGCACAATGTATGAAAGTGGTTACTTTAACATTTGCTGTAAATGCATATTACTGGTTATTTTATATTTAATATAATTTTGAACTTTACCTTGGCTCTGTTTTTCTTTGATAGTGTAGACCCAGCCCCTTTGTAGATGTGTGCATGGATCTGGGGTGCTTAAGTTACTCCGTGCTTTCAGAAGAGAACAATAAGATGCATGCCCACTAAGTCCATGTCCTCTTAAGGGCATCTATTTAGACACTGAAACTCCAAGGGTGTCTCACTTCCCCCAAGCCACAAAATGCACCTCGAGCTGAACTCTGCACCTATGTGTAATTGGGATGTTATACATTTCATCATCTGACTTGGGAGGCTTAGTACTACTTAGAGATAAATATGTATCAATCCAAGGGCAGCATTAAGTCATTTTAGCTTAAATCACCACATTTTGGAAGGAGTTATGTCTATAGCGATAGGGCAACGATAGTGAAAGCGTCTCTGTACTCAACTCAGCCTTCTGAGGTAATATACAGGAGTGAAAGTAGAGCCTTGTGTTGTATAAAAACTGTTCCAGTTTGACTCGTGGTATGATTTAATTAAACCAGTGAAAACCCTGCTGTACATACTTGCACTTAGCTTAACTCTATTAAGAAATTTATTTAAGCTAAGCAACAATAGACCACTCTTTAAATTGCTGTAAACCCCTCTGAAGATATACTAATATTGTTTTGAAACATTCAAGTTAAACCAGTGCAACTTTCTCATATTGACAAGACACCATTCACTTATGCCATTCAGTACTGTGTATGTCTACCACAGATGCTAGTGTGTGTGTTAACTGCTTATTCTCCCTCCTACTAAAATAAAAATTCAAACTTTTATTTATACAAAACCTTCATTTATAGTTGAATAATAGGGGGGGGGAGGAAACTCCATATTGCATACATAACATACTTAAGATTTTTTTTTCTTAACACTTAGTTGCTAGTGAACACTACATGTGACAGGTTTAAAAACTCTGACAGCAGTTAGACCAATCCCAAGATTCCTACTGGCTTCAGCAGTAGCAGAGACAGGCCAACACTGAGCATTTTTGGAAATCCCATCCTTAATATTCTACAGGTTTAATAAAACAAAATGTTGAAAGAGAAATGTTACTTGCTACTGTAGGTTGAAGAAAGATTCCAAACAGTCTCTTCAGCTTACTAGGATCAAACCACTGCCTCTTAAATAGCATGGTAGCTATTTTGGCTTCACCATTTGTCAATTTGATAATCCCTATACAAAGTTTTAATACCACCCATCTGGGGGAAGATGGAAGTGTCTCATCTGGATAAGGAATAGGCCTGCAGCTTCAGCGTTTGTGCACATTTAGGCACATCTCCATGAATACAGTGTATTCCTGTTATGTATCATCAATATCTGTAGTATTGTCATTATCACTTGCTACAAGAACCTCTCTGTTCTCATAGGTCCAGAAGCCATTCAGATCAATTAGAATGCTAGTAACAGTGTCTCCTTGGCTACTGTTGATTAAGTCTTGAAGGGAGATCTTGTACGGATCCTTAGGCTTCACCATATCAAAGATTTCATCCTAAGAAAGGAAAACCATAGAATTAAAAGGCACATTTATAAGCAAAATAGTGATTACTTTATCTACAGCATGTACGGAATGATCATTTGGGCAGTCTATGCCCCCCACTCATGAAGATTTGATCTAAAATAAGATTGCATCGTAAGTACAGAGTTGGTAGCTGAGTACACTGCCCTTCTAGTAAAGGTCTTACTCAGCCAGAGAGGCAGTATGGTGGGCTCAGAAAGGTAGCCTGAAGCCCTGCCTCTTTAAAAAACTACAACAAAATGCAAAGAAATCAGGTAAATCCCTACCTAATGTTATGGAATTTTCTCTTCATTAAACATGAGTCACTTGCAGTATTTCAAGACTTCTGAAACTAAATAGGGAACTGCTAGCTAATATTATGTTAGAATGGTATCAATAAGATGTAGTATGCTTTTAGTTACTGACAGTTCTCGAGGTAGAGCTATTTGATTTCTTTATCAGCAAGATAAACTTCCAATTATTGTCAAGCATCTAAAACCAAAGGCAAGGCTCCATTTGTGCTTATTGTAGGTACTTGCATCAGAAAAATCTAAGAGAAGTTGAGTACTAAAAACTTTGCTTTCAGCATAATTACACTTTAGAATGAAGGGGAATTTCCAAAGTCACATTACTAATGAGCTAACTTTGCCATGCTATAAAAAAATGATGATTTAACACCCCCACAAATACCCAGTGGCTACAATACTGTGCAAGTAAAATTTCAAATCTGTTTAACTCAAAAATTCCAGTTATGCACACACTTTACTTTCTATATTTAGGGAAAGCTAACCTTGACATCTTGAAAAGAAACTGGTTCTTGTCCATGGATTTTCATTTGTTCCTGAATAGCCTATAGGAAAAGAAAAGCTCAGTTTCAGAGCAGTAGAAACCTAAGAAACAAAACTGATAATTTAGTGTTCTACAGCTGCTCAGTACTAGATTTAAAAAAAATATTTTTAATTGTCTAAAAGAGACCAGGTGGGTCAGATCTTTTATTGGACCAACTTCTAGTGGTGAGAGACAAGCTTTCAAGCCACACAGAGCTCTTCTTCAGGTCAAAAGCTTTTCTGTCTCTCCAACAGAAGTTGGTCCGATAAAAGATATTACTTCACCCACCTTTACTCTCTAATATCCGGGGACCAACACAGCTACACTACATATTTAAAGAAAGAGATGTGAACCGGAGTGGCTGCAACCCATCCTTCCTTCCATGACTAGAGTGAGCAATCCAAATGATTAAAGCAACTGGAATTCTATCATCCACAAAGGCAGGATTAGATTAAGGTCAATCACTATGGGTATGTCTACACTGCGATTGGAAGCATGCACAGCAGAAGAAATGCAACCGGATAAATAGACATATGCTAGCTCTGTCTGAGCTAGTCTGGTAAAAATAGTATTGTGGCCATTGCAGCACAGGTGGCAGCATAGGCTAGCCACTCAACAAGTACCAGCCACCTAACGCTGGGTTGGTAGCCTGTGCCGCAACATCCACACTGCTATTTTTAGCATGCTAGTTCAAGCAGAGCTAGTGCAAGTCTGTTCACCCAGACAGGGAGACATGCTCCCTGATCCAGTGTAAACATACCCTATATGCCTGGGCCCTCAGCGTCTGGAGTGACATGATGAGCTCAGTCTTAACTTTCATTTAAAAAAAAAAAGTTTCTAACCCTCACAGATGCAACAAAAACATTGAAAATGTGACCCAAGTGTAATTGAGGCCTGCCTAGTCTGCAGATAGCCTAAAAGTGTGAAGTTCCCCATTCATCTTAGCTATGAAAGCACCTATCACGAAAATGAGGGACGTGGCTGAGGCAGGATCACAGGGGCCCCAATCCTGAAGGCCCCAGATTGCCTTAATTTGGTCCTGCACAAAGGCCACACTGCTAGTGACCTGGTAAGAGCACACGTAGGACATGTCCACATTTGAAATGCTAGAGCTGCACCCCTGCAGCTGGGCTGTTGTAGTGCTTCAGTATGGACACCATCTATGCTGACAGCAAGGGTTCTCCCTTTGGCATAGGTGATCCATCTTCCCAAGACGAAGTAGCTAAATCAACAGAAGAATTCTTCCATTGACTTAGCATTGTCTACATTGGGGCTCAGGTTTGCTTAACTATACCACTCAGGGGTGTGGATTTTTCCTGAGCAACATAGTCACGCTGACTTAACTCTTAGTGTAGAACAGGCCTTAATATTTTTCTCTGTAGCCCACTTTGATAAACGTAAGACAATAGATTTACTGCTGTGGATAAGAAAGACCAATTCAAAGTTTGATACTGACAATTGAAGGGCATTACTGACATTATTGCAAAAGCAGGGAGTGACCTGTATGGAGAAAGGGTGCAGATGACCACACAACCTAATAAAAATTTATTGTATTTATGTAGGATTTCTGAATACTAGATGTACCCCAATTGCCTGCCACCCCTCATTACAGAGGTGACTGCATTATAGTGGTACTGTACAAAGATTATATAGTTTGTAAAGTGTTTTGGGACAAAGGGTGTTACATAAACTATTATGCTGATTTAAATGTTTAGCTTCCACAGCAAAAAATACAACCGGTTCTGTATTTACTGAATGAAACCTTGCAGATTAAAGAAATGAATAATCTGAACAAAAAGCAATTTTGCAGTGTAAAATGTATTTGAACTTAACATCACATGGAACTACACCCTAGCACAGCCAATTTGAAGCAAAACACAGGTTTTTATTCTCTAGATTTTTTATTAGACAAAATTTGAGATAGCACTATACCTATTAAATTTAGAAACTCAGTGAATAAAGACAGTAATTCCTTGCCATAGGGGAGATTTCAACTGAGGCACAGAACGTGTTTCATTCACTACATAATTTTGTCCAAACATTGGAGTGGATCTATGTAAATTATACAGTAGGGGGGAAAAAAATAATCAGAAGATAAAGGACCGATCAATGTCTGTGACAGAGTTCTGTATCTATTTTCTATAGCAAGCTACTTTGAAAGATGGAACCTGGATTCTGGTTGGTTAAAATAATGCACAGCAGTAGCTAAACTAAACCACAAGATGGGAAGGGAAAGTCAGAATCTTTGTACAACGCACTAACAAATTTAGTAAGTTAATTAAATGAAGCCATACAACATGGTGATATCCTACCCAACAGTTAGCAACAGAAAACACATGGCACCAATAGGTTGAGGGAGTTCAACTTAAGGGCCTCATCAAATGTCCCCTGAAGTCAAGGAGAGTCTTTCCACTGATTTCAATAGGCATTGGATCAGACAGTGAGGACAGAGAACATGATGCACGGACTAGCAAAGAATGCCAATTCATGCAGATTTACCTTGTGAAATTGGCAATCATGCTTTATGCAATTTAAGAACTACTATAAGTGGTTTTCTGTCAAAACTGTCACCAAGTTCTTTTATTACAATTCTATGGCACCACCAGCAACAAGCCAATACTGAAGTGAACCTGTTTCACGCTCTGTACAGAATACAGCTCAGGCTGGATTCTGTACCAG